AAAAAAAAAAAAAAGAAGCAGCATGGCACATAGCAAAAGGAAGGAGCTGGTAAGGGATCCTCACATTGCCTTACTGATGGTGCATAGCATACCTGTGCCTTGTGGGTACCATAGGGCAGGACAGAGGAAGAGAGGTACATTGCCACCTTTACCCCGCTTTGGCAAATGTTTCCTCATACCACTTTGGCTTAGTCAGTGCCTCATGATTTGTTGAGTGGATGAAAGAGAGGATCGGGTACCAGGCAAAGGCCTGGGGTGCTCAAGGGAGGCTTCCTGTAGGAGGAAGGGCTGAGAGCAGGGAGTGTACCTCATTTGGACACTGTGCCCAGCACCTGCCAGAGAGGACCTGGAACATTGCAGACATCGAGCGCTGCCTGCTGAGCTCACACATTCACTCACCAGTTAGTCTTTCTTGAGCACAACTGTGCCTTGCCTCTTGCTGAGCGTAAGATCCAGCTGTGAGCACAGTGGACCTGATCTCCTAAGAGCTTAGAATCTCTTTAGGGTTCAGAAAAGCGAATGACCACAACATAAAGCCATCTGGACTGTGATAGGGAAACTCATAGAAGGGGCCCAGAGGAGGCTCCTGGTCCAGCTAGGCATCACGAGGGGGCTTCCCGAGGGCTTCCTAGAAGAGGGGATGCCCAAACTGATTCCCAAAGGGCATGAAGGAGTCAGCAAGGTGAAGGGGTATGGGAGAAGCGGAGTGTATTTGGAGTAGAGGAAACAGCATTTTCAGAAGTAGGGGGTGTAATGAGGAAGTGGGGTGCACCGGAAGAACCAGCTGGGCCTGAGCGTGGGCAAGAATTGGAAGGTGAGGAGGGATGAGACGCAGGGCCGTGGGAGGTGGCAGGCAAGGGTGCAGTGGAAAGAGTATTTTGGAGTCAGACCAACATGGATTTTAATCTTTAGGTGAGTCATTTCTCTTTTCTGAACCTCAGTTTCCCCCTACCTAAGATGGGAATGATAATACCTTACAGGTCTTTAGTGAAGGATACTGGAAATAGGGACATGTACCTCACACATTGCTGGACAGAGAGTGGGGAACCAGTACATAGTTCCTCTTTCTATTCCCGCAGGGAGAAATTATGCTGGCAAATGTCCAGAGGCAGGATTGTACCCTGGAGACAAACAGCCTCCTCTTAGGACACGCCCAGAGCTAGTGTTCAGAGCAGGGAACTGCGGCTGGGGCAGCCAGGATGGCCTTGACTTGAGACTTGGTTGATCTAGTCAGAGATTCTCACTCTCCTATCTCTTTCCTGCCATAATGTACTGTGTCCAAGCCCCAGTATGTCACTAGGGAAGACATGAGGAGGCCACTTTGCCTGACAAGGACATTTATCCCTTAGGGCACTGATTTTCAAAAGTTATTTTGACAGCAGAACTTTTTTTTCCAATTGAAATCTCCCTCAGAACCCTGAACAAAAGCAGAGCTGCTCTGGTGGAGGCAGAGGTGGGGTGTCTGTCACCCTACCCCACAGGCAGGCCCTGAGGCACTGCTCTACAAGGCTGCTGGCTGGTTTAAAAGCTTCTGCCCCAGGATTGGTTTTAAGGTCAGAGTGGGTGTTAAGACCTGAAGCCCAAAGAGGCACCTAATGAGGCAGGGATGAGGTGTCCCAGAGCTGGCAGCCCTACACTCACTCAACAGGCAGGTTTTCCTGTGATTTGTTTCTACAGCCCCATCCTTGGTCACATAAGCTCAGACATTTTCTTTTACCAGGGCCCCCAGAAACAAGCAGGTCCCAGCAGAGTAGCCCTGCAACTGAAATCACTAAAACTACGTGCCAGTTTATTCCTCTACAAAGAAGTAGGCTATCTGAACAGGCCTTATTTACAGTTGCCTGACCTTGGGTAGGAGTCTTAACCTTTGTGCTTCGGGGGTTCTCAGTAGCGTGAGGTAAGCAGATTTGGTGCCTGGGATGACTGGGAACATCTCTGAATGGTTGCTGTGACTGTAGTCCTGAGTCCTGTGTGAATCTTAGCTTTGCTGTGCACTACCTGTGTGATCTTGGGCAAACTATTTAATGTCCCTATAGTCTGTAGTTTCTTCAGTTGTAAATTGAGGAATAACAGCCCCTAGCATGTAGAGGCTGTTGAGTGAGCATGAAATGAAGGACTTAGAACAGGGCCTGGTGTAGAGTGGGTGCCATATGTGTGTGTCCTATTTTTGTTACTATTTGTATTGGCATGGCCAGCACATACATACATTCATGTGGCCATTCATTCTCCATCTATTGAGTGTCTGCTGTATACCAGGTCCTGTGCTATACCCTGGGGATACCATGGTGAATAAGCCAGGTGCAATCTTACTGAGTGTTTAAAGAGTTTGGGCTTCAGCAGGATGGGATGCCTTCAAAGGTTCTGAGCTGGCACAAGTGAAAGGTCATGTGGCAGTGGGTGAGGGCAGCTGTGGTAACAGGCTGACCAGTGAGGAGGTAAGGACCAATGAGGAGGTCAGGGGTGAATGGGCAGGCCTCAGGCTGGAGAATAGAGATAGACTAGGGGAGGGACTGGAGAGCCCCAGGGTTTGGTGACTGCCTGAGGTGTGGGATGCAGGAGAGAGGACCCAAGTGAGCATTCCTCCTGTGTCTGGCTTGGGCAGCTGGGCTATGGCAGTGACATTTACGGAGAGAACATTGGAGGAGAAGCTGGGTGGGAGCGCAAAGGATGGGTGGGGCTTGGCCTGCTGCGTCTGAGCTGCTGGCTGTGGGATGGCCGAGTATGCTGCGTAGGAATCATTACCACCATCATCACAACAGCAGCAGCCACCATTTGTTGACTTCACACCACATGCCAAGAACTTTTCAAGTGTTACTTAATTCTCATAACAATCTTTCGTGGCCTAGAGGATCGCTAGGCCTTGTTAGATCTGGGGTCCTTGTGCACAGGGCTGCAGCCAGGTGTGTCTGACCCAGGGCTCATGCTCTTTCCAGATCCCCAGCAGGAACTTTGGAAGCTTGGAGTACAATGATGGAGCATCCACACTGTTCCAGGCCCTTGTCTGTGCTTTCTGACTTGTATCCACTCCTTGATTCCTCACAGCCATCCAATGAAGGAAAGACTGGTATTAGCCCCATTTGCTCAAATGCACGGAATGAGGCACCAAGATACCGTGTCCAGGCCACACAGCTAGCATTTGGGAGATCCAAGGCGGGCACCCCACCAGGCTGGCCCTGAGCTGGTGAGTGACTTGCAGAATGGAAGATAGCCTGGGACACCAGCATTCCCTCAGTCAACCCTGAACCAGGCACAGGGCTCCTTGGCCAGTCTCAAATTATGATCCACTTATCCCACCCAGTGGCCACTACTGGCATTGACTTTCTACTCCCTGCCATTACTGCCATGGTGTGAATTCAGACCCTACCCCTCTCATCAGCCTCCTCACTGACATCCCGGCTGCAGGTCTCCATTCCTCAATTTGTCCTCCAGTAGGATCTTCCTACAATGCAAGTCTGATCTGTCACTTGTGTGCTTTAGCTGTAGCCATTGGAGCAGTCAAGATAAAGTTTGTGCTTCAGGTCCCGCCTTAAGGGCAGAGCAGGTATCTTAAGTCAGTGACCTAGGAAGTAGACTCTGTGGTAGAGATTTACTAACAGGAAGTATGTTGGGGTGCCCTTGGAAACCCACCCTTTGAGGTAGTGATGGAAGTAGACTCCGCAAGGGAGAAGTTTAGCTGTACCATAATCATAACTAGGCCCCAGCTGTCCCACGGGCAGCCTGGAGCTGGATGGCCGTCAAGGACATCCCTCTGAGATAAGGGACCAAGACTTTATAACCTCTACTGACATGTTGGACATGGGCTACCCTCAGGACCTTGGGTAAAGGGGTTCTTTTCTACCAACAGAGCTGAGAACCGTCAGTCACCAATACTCTTGGGTAGCTCCGGTCCTGCTAGAGGGTCTGGGAGGCCACCATGGTGTCCACTACAGCAGCATACTGGCTAGGAGCCAGGCAGAACCAGCTTCTGGTTCCCTGCACTCTCACATGATTTCTATCAAGGTACTTATCTTTCTCAATCTCAATTCCCCCTCTTGAAATGAGGCTGATATTACCTCCCTCACAGAGTTTTGGGATGATTGAATGAGAGAGCATTTGCAAAGAGCCTATACATGCTTGGCACATAGGTGGTCACTACTGATGGTCCTCTTTCATAAGCCAGTATGTGTGGGGTGTTAGAAGCATGGGCTTGGAGTCAGTTAGCCCTGGGTTCAAATTTGGATTTGTTTCCTACTGATTGTATGATTTGCAGGCAAGTGACTGCCCATGTGAGTCTCAGTGACCCCTGAAATGGGGAGTGATAACCCCTAACTTGGAGGGCTATCATGAGCTACAGATGAGATCAGCACAGGACATAGGTACTGTCATGACTAAGACTTAGCTTTGCATCCCTAGCACAGCACCAGGCACACAGCAGGTGCCCAATAAATTAGCATTGAATGGGTGATTGACTGATTCGGCCAAGAGGTCTTTAAAAATTCTGCCCTTAAATCTTTCCATCTAATGGCATACACATACACACACACACACACACACACACACACACACACACACACACACACACACACACACACACACACACGTACGCATACATGTCAGCAGTTTTTCTTTAGCAGAGAGCATAGTGGCAGATTTCAAGTTTCTTGCTTACATTCTCCATCCAGCCCTGTCTCCTGGGGCTGCACCAAGTCCTCCACATTAGTGTTTTCAAATGGTATATGGTACTTATCTTCCAATTCTAAAATGTCTACTCCTGAAAAACACAGGTAGGTACAGAGATGAAAGACAACGC